GAGAGAACAGTCTTTAATTAGCTGAATCCCTTACACAGCTCAGCAGCTCCCCACTGAATAGGTCCCATTTACCTCTTCTTCTGGGCCTTAGGGGGTCTGTGCTTGAGGGCATTCAAAACGTAGTATTTCAGCAGCTTCTGATAGGAGACTCGTACTTTCACTGGCTGGCCAGCTGGGCAGTGCTCACGATACCTAGGGGTGAAACAGACTTCAAATTTTCAGATAACTTACATTCCTTCAAAAACGAGTCCACAGACTCTCCTAACATCTCTAGAAACCAGGCAAACTTGACAAGATCACTTTTTTCCCCCCACTGTAGCATAGCACTAATACTAAGGTCACAACCACTAAATACACTGTCCCCACAGGCAGAACTCACCAGTTCTTGACCAGTGGGATGTCAAGAGCTCTCCGAGTCCTCCCAGACCTCAGATTGAATGGCCGTGGGGCCCACAGCAGGGCAATGCCATTGGCTGTGTTGTCTGTGTAGAGCGGGGTATCCTTCAAGAAAGGTTCCACAAACTCTGGTAACTCAAACTCTTCATCATCATCAGGCAGCGGCTCCTGACTCTGAAACCACAAACCACACAATGCTTGTTTCCTGGATCATTCAAAGCTTCAGCTTAATTTAAGTTAACCGAGTAAAAAGCATTTCTTTCTTGTCAGGGAATAAGTGCAACAGTGCTGATTATCTGAGAAGCAAAAAACACTCTAGAAGGTGTCAACAGAATTACCTCTGGCTACCTGTCAGAAGACCATAAAACAACACTGCAATTTAGGCACTGAACTTTATCCTAGAGACCACAGGACACAGCTTTGAGCAATTACAGAAAACAGCTGATAACTGCATAAGGTTTTTCTCTGTGAAAGCACTTGTGCTTTCTCCTAAAGAGGCATGCATCTACACTATTATCAGAAACGAGGCTACAGAAAGATGCCAAAGTCCCATTGCCTCCACACAGGTTTTATCGTAGGTTCTCCTGGACAGTGACTCACCTTAACAGAATGCCTGTGTGAAATGGGGTTGATCAGCGGATCGAAGTAAAAAGCTGGGAGATCAGGATCTTCTGTTTTAATGAAAACAACATTTGGAGTATGATACCTGCAACACATAACGAGTATGAGGGCATGCTGGTGGCTTCCCCTCCTCTGCTCACCCTTGAGACTGCTGCGCTTACCAGGTCAGGTGGACGTGGTGGGGAAGGTTATTGTACAGGTATGGGAAAGCAATTTTGTACTCTGTCCTGATTGGCTGCCTGATGATAATTTTGTTGATGTCGTTAAACTCATTCCAGTCTTCATCCCTCAAATAAGGCAAAAAGAAATTGTCACACAAGCAATTGGGGGAGACAGAAAGACAAATATTCTTGACCAAAGATGCAGCATCAGTGCCTTTCCTTTCGCTTATTCTTCACACTAAGAACCACTGTCCAAAGCAACAAGCACATCACAATGCTAAAAAGAGCAAATGCTCAGAATTAACAAACCCAACAAAAGGTACATGACCACAGATCAGTGACCCTCATGATCTTTTCCCAGATAACTGCCTATCTCTACTCCGAGATTTAACACTTACTGCAGATTGATGTCTCTAACAAGAGGCTCAAACTTGGGACCTCCAGGAATAGCCATGTTCAGCGCCTTGGAAGTGAAAAATGCTTTCAGGTCAAACAAATAGAAATAGTTGTCATCCACGAGGTCAGTGAGCAGCTGATTGGCCAGCCGATACAGCGTGGACATCATGGGCAGAGTGAACTGCCAGCGCTGGTAGGTAGAACCATTCACATACCTGCAGAGAAACAAAGCACTCATTAAATACAGCCAGAAGACAACTCGTCCTTCACCTTTCTGCTATTTGCAGAAAATATTAAGGACAGCTAACTCTTGTCCCCCTCGAGACAGGAAAGTAAAATTTACAGGCTTGTTGAAGATTTCTATGAGCTACATCTGCCCAGCTCCCCTCCCTCTCCATATCTAAACTAATGTCTGACAAGATTCAAGAGCCTCCAGCGTGCAAGCATACTCTGTATTTAAAATATAAACTCAAATATAATCTAGATGATCCAGGCTTTCATCTTTATGGCGTGGCAAGAAACATCAGATTTTTACCTGCTTGGACAGACAGGCCTTGATTGCCTTCCCTCAACACTGAAGACAGAGGGATGACTTTACAGCACTCAGTTTGCCCCTCCTATCCTTGAGGGAAGGTCTTCTCATCCCATCGACACCACTCATAGACCAACATTATACAAGCAAAATTAATGCACTTCTGCATATGTATAATTTGCATAGTGCATAAAGATTTTGTTGTTTGTTTTCTTAAATCCCCACAGTGAATTGTGCTACCAGGCAGACACATACTTTCTATTGTCTTTCAGTGGCTGGTGGTCATAGAACCAGTCCAGTACTGGGGCATCTTCCTCTGGATCCAGTTCAAGCTGAATTGCTTCCAGGGGCTCCACATCTAGGATGTTATCAGCATAATCCAGTGGAGGTTCTTCGTCATCAAATGGGGGAAATCTCATTCTCTTGAAGTGACGTCTGTCCCTTTTCTCTCTCCTCATCATAATCCACATGGACCTGGCAGAAACCAGAGACCATCACATATTGCCTTTATTGTGGAAGCACAGTTATTCACTCACAGCACCCCCCCAGTTAAGGAAAAAGCACTTACCCCCACTGTGCAATGTACACTGGCTCTATAACCCAGGGAATCTCATTCACAAAAGAGATGGCTCCTGTGATGTGATACAGGACTGGAACATCTCTGATTTGCTCCCAGGGCATAGGCATGTTCTCCAAGAGCTTCAGAACAGCGTGAGGCATGTACTTCAGAGCACTACAACCAGAAATCAAGGAAGATCACAGCTGGAAGGCATGTCCAGAGAGCAGTCACGTCTCTGTAGCAAGTTCAGTTACCTGCATACCTTCCACTCCTAGAGACTGCTCAGCTAACTTGCTCATAAAGGCCTTCAGTGATGAACCCACAAATTTTCTGTACTATCCTTCTGCTTCACAGATTTCACTACCAAATGGTTTTTTCTACTGGTTGGCTTCACAGAGATTGTTATAGATTATAAACATTCAAGAATAATAACACTAAAAGATACTGAATGAGTTTTTATGGATAACTCTACACAAACGCAACAGACTGTGTTTTGCACAAGACAGTTCTCTGGGCCCAAACAACAGAGAAACGCTCACAGAACATTTTAATCATGAAATAAAAAAAAAAAAGCTGATTAGTTCATAATCTCCCCCCAAAACCTCTTTTAAGCTACAAGCTATTCAGAACGATGCTTTCCCTTAAGAACTCCAAGCATCGACTTCATCAGCTCATCCTCTCCTGCACCCCGCTGACACCCTCGTGCTGCGATGCTGCTGTCTGAGCACAGCTGCCCCCGGGAGCCCTGCGCTGAAGGCGCTGCCCCTCAGGGGGAGCTCCGTACCCCAGATAGACGCGCTTGTCGTGGCGGAACTTCCTGTTGGTCATGTCGCCGTGGTCGCGGATGATTTTCCGGACGTGTTCGGGAGGCATGTCCTCCTTCTGCGCATCCACGAAGCCGAATTTCCTCTTTTCCGCATAGCGCTTGGCCTGCAGCTGCTGCCACTTGCGGGCTGCGGGGACAGAAAAGCAACGGGATGGGGTCAGGCGCGCCCCGTTCAGCGAGGCGGGATGGGGAAAGGCCTCACGCACCTTTCTCCTGCAGCTTCTCCTCAGACATGTAGTCGGGCAGCGGTGCCATCGGGGTCGGCACCGGCGCGCAGCCGCCGCGGTACGGGAAGACGGCGGCCATGGCGACACACCTGCGGAGAAGGGAGAACGGGATCAAAGCGGGATCGTGGCTCCCACCGGACCCTCCTACGTCCCTGAGGCCCGCCCCACCCGCACATACCGGCCGCTGCGACGTCCCGCACTCCCCAACAACAATGGCGGCGCAATCCACCGCCACCGCGCCTGCGAGACCCGGATGTGGGCGGTGTGCGCAGCCAGAGGGCTCGCCCAATCAGCCCTCGGGCAGCCTGACAGACAGCGAGAACAGCCTATCAGAGTGCGCAAAGGGCAGGAGGCGGGATCAACTGTGGAAGAAGAAAGGAAGCTGTGCCTAGAGTACACTTCCGGTTGAATGCTACTTCCTTTCCAGTCCCGCCCTCTGCCTATTTTGATTGGTGGAGAGGAATAACGGTGACAGCACGACGCCGGCTCTGATTGGACAGCCGGGGGCTGCAGACCCCAGCTATGGGGCCCAACAGCCCCGAGGCCGTGAGGCCGTCTGGGGTTTTCCTCAGGCAGCCCCTTCCTCGTACCTGGGATTCCCTTGTGAGAGAAAGGCCATCCCTTGTCCTTCTGCCTCTGTCCCCACAGGAGGGGAAGGTTCCTCTCCCATAGCTGGCCCGTTTCCTTCAGGAGAGACACACAGGGCATTCCCACAGTGTGTTCCCGTGCACCGGGCTGTGCAGAGCTGCCAGGCCACCGCTGTGAGACATCCTTGCAGGCTCCCAACCAGGCCCGCAGCGTGAGGCATTGGCGTGGCAGCAGGAATGTGGTGACAATCGAGGCCTTCAGCAGCAGTCGTGGTGTGGGCAGCCAACACTGCTGACAGGGGCACTCTGAGCAGTTTCAGCCTCTTCCCACAGCTTTCCAAAGCAAATGAGTGGTTTGGGGGTAAAAAGTTGCCTGCTGTGCAGAGAACATGACAGATCTAGTGGATTTCTCAAAGCAACTACATGCAGCCCTGTGTGAGGTGGGCTCGTACGTGCTGCTAGGCTGATGGGAAGGGTTCTGTGTATGGGAATCAGTGGGAAATGTGAAGGGAAACAGCATTCGAACCTTCCAATTCCTTGCACCAGGAAGGTGCTCCGCTTTACTGCACACAGCATCAGGCATGAGCCAGCACACCGTGTGTTTTTATCCCAGAGCAAGGAGATGGAGGACAGGAAGCCAGTGACACCTCTGGAGCAAGCTGAGATGCAGAGTTTTTCTTTACCTCTAAGCCTCTTCCACTTGAGCTCTTTCATTTGCTATTTATTGAAAGCCTGTGTTAGTAAGAGCTCTTGCTGCTGCTTGAGAGCATTACACCAGGCTCTGCAGCAGGACTTCTGGTTCCTCATAGATGCCCATATCTGGCCCATCTGAAAACATCTCATCCACGGGAAAAAACTATCACACACCATCCTGGTCTGCAGCTCACGCATTCCCACACTCATTTATGGGGACTTAATAGATCTGGGAAGAAAACAACACTAGAATATCTCCAGTTGCCTGAAGTTAGCAGCAGTCCCCAAGTATGGCATTATGGCTCCCACTGTCCCTAGTCCAGTGCCAGCAGCATCTGACAAGGACAAGTCCAAGCCTTCATCTCTCACCTGGCACAATCTCATCAGGGATGGGTGCAGGATTTGGCTTTTACCAGCCCTGGCCTCAAGGGCAAAGCCTTGGAGCTTCTCTTGCCTGGTGCTTTCCTATGGGAAGTGCTGGAGGTAGCACAGAGTGCCTTAGGCAATAGGACCCTGCAGGGTGCAGCACCTAAGAGGTTAGAAACTCACAGTGGTGTTTGCATATCCAGAAAAGCAATGGGGAAACAATGCTCTTCTCCCTGCTCCCTTCTCACTGGTGTCTCAGGGCTGTTAGAGCCTTCAGAGCTTCTCTGAGCAGCTCCTGGTTGTTCGACCACATCATCCAAAGGTGCTGGAGAGCAGAGCCCCAGTGCCTGGTCCACCAGCACCTTCTCTGCCCAGGATCCACAACCTTAAGTCCAAGCAACACTGAAATAGCCATTCTTATTCCCCACCAGCTCTTTGCTGTCCTCCTCCATGAGCTCATAGCTGCTCCATGCTATTTCTCCTTCTCCCTGCGCGTGTCCCGGCTGGACTTGAAGAAATCACTACGTAGCAGGCGATAGAAGAGGATGATGTTCATGGGGGTCATGATTGCCATGCCAACTGTGCCCACGGTGTATGTGGCCAGGGGCACGTGCTGCCGGTTGAGGAACAGCCAATGTGTCATCCAGGCCAGCGTGGCAATGCGGAACACCACATAGGTGCCCAGGTTGATGATGCTGTTGAGGCGGTAGCAGGCGGTGTGCACCAGGTCGGCCATGAGCAGGATTTGGCGTAGGTGGAGGAAGATGGAGTTAATCTCCACCAGTAAGGCCACGAGGGCAAAACCCACGTACTGATGGAGCAGCACTGCAATGCCAAAGCAGACAATCACCTGCGAAAGAGAAAGAAGAGAGGCTGAGCACAGGCACTGCTTGCTGTGCAGCCCTTCATGCTCAGGCACAGTGGTGAAGCAGAGCTGGAAACAGTTGTCGTGTTGGAGCCAAGCCACTGGTCACCACTTCACACAGCTCTGCAGCCCCATAAACAAGATAAAGTCTCCCCACCATTGCACAAAACCTTAGTATGTTGCTATTTTCCAGCAGGCCAAGTGGAAAACACTTCTATAAACTCCAGGTTGAAAGAGGAAATCCAACAGCCAGCCCTAACCCTGCCATTATGGCCTGGGGCATGCAGTGGATGGTGGCCCAGCAGGTTTTTCTGCACACTGCGGTAGGGAGGGAGACGTGTAGCCCAGGGCTAGAGCTGCTGCTGGCTCAGAAATCCTCCCTGAGACAGGTACACTGCAAGGATTAAGTGGCTTTGCTGCATGACAGCCCTTGTGAACTCCAATCAGGAAGCTCTGGGATGCCTCAGGATGGAGCTGTGGGGGCAGAACGGGTACAACTCCTGCCCTGCATCCTCCCTGTGGTGACAGGGGACAGGCTCTGCCTGCCTGTGCCTTACACCACTCAGACTTTTCTTCAGTTTATACCATTAATGCTGTTCTGTGTATTGGTTCTATAATGAGATTATCTGCTTGCTAAATCACTGTCTCAGCCTGAATTAGCTCTATTGTGTGGATGACCTTTTGACTCATGAGTTGCAGAGTTGCAGGGCTGAAAATCACCTCCCCCAGCTGCGTCCCACCACCACCTCTCCTGTTTTCCCTCCCTGGGCCCTGCAGAATCCTGTGCTCCCTGCAGCCTGCTGGAAAATTAAGGTAATGGATCTGTCTGTTCTTACTTTACCATCTCCCTGGGCATTCCCCAGACCCACTCCCACCCAGCAGACTCACCACGGAGTGATGGAAGAGCAGCTCCCAGGACTGGTGGAGTTTCTGATTGCATAGCATGTCCACGAAGTCTTCTAGGAAATAACCTGGGAATGGAGAGGCTATAAGCAAGGAAGGGGGTGGCCAGGAAGGTCTGTAGGGCAGCACTTGTACCCTCACCCATGTTAGTACCCTAGGGTTGGATCCCAATTCCTTGCAGCATGGAGGATTTACTGCTACCAGAACAACCCCACATCAGCATTTCATGTACTTAAACCTCCTTGCTGAGCCATAGCGGTGGTGGGGATCTTGCTAGCACTGACCACATGGCTGGTGACAGAAACACAACAAGGTTACAAAGAGAGGGATGGCCATGGGACTCCTAGCAAGTTCAGCACACGGATTTGCAGGGAAGCCACACCGATCACACATCACAGACAATTTTGGGATCCTCCAAGCCTTGGCTGCCCGATGAGGACGGTGATGGGCAGCTCAGTACCTCCCAGCTCTGGATGTGTGGGCACAAAAAGGAGCCTCTGTCCTTGCCAAGAATAAGGCAATTGTCTGTGGTGCCTGAGACGTCGCTGCCCGGGACGTGGGTGGGGGGCTGGCATTTAGGCACCAACAGGGACCCCCAGAACCATGTTCCCCCATCTCACCTACAGACACGGCCACCAGGCTGTGTGCCCCGGGTGGATGTGTGCCCACCAGATCCTCGTGCAGCCCAGGGTAGAGACAGAACCTGTGGGGAGATGGGCTGTGAGTGCCAGGCAGTGCCTTTGGCTCCCTTCCCTTGAGGAAGCCCTCCAGGCTTCCTTCCACTCTCCTCAGTGGGCACTGCTGACACCCTAGAACCCTTCTTTCCCCTTTGCCTCCCCCCATAGCCATGTTATCCTTCTGTCCCCCACAAGTCTTCCTATCGCCTGCTACCCCAGTATCCCCTTGCACCCCTCATTTCCTCCTCCATCACTCTGTACCCCAGATTACCTCCCCATCTCCACATCCATCCCTTCTGCAACACCCTCCTAGGGTTCCATCCACCCCATCCCATTTCCCTCTAGGATCTTCTCCCCAGCACCACCCCATCCACCCCATCCCCATTACTCCCTAGGGTCCCATCCACCCCATCCCCATTATTCCCTAGAATCCCATCCATCCTTCCCCAACTCCCCAACACCCCCCTAGGGCTCCATCCACCCCGTCCCTCCCCCTCCCCCAAAGCCCTCCCGACGCCCTTTCCCCCTCCCCATACGCACAGCCTCCCTCGTTGTCCCCTCGGCCCTACGTTCCCATCGCGGTCCCTCGCTGTCAGATCCCGACTGCTCACCCCGCCAGCGCCCCGCCGCCGCTCAGCACGCTGTGTGCCAGCGACGTCCAGATGTTCCGCCACTTCCAGCGGTTCCGCCGAGCCGAGGGCGGCGGGGGCATCAGCCGCTCCACCCCGCGGTTCAACAAGCGGAAAGCGGCGAAAGAACCGGCGACCAGCAGCAAGTCCGGCCCCAGAGCCATGGGCATCCGTTGTCTCCCATGGGGGGCACCGAATGCGCTGAACGACGGCTCCGCCTCGCCCCGTAGCCTCCGCCTCTGGCACCGGCACCGCCCCAGGCATCGCATCGCCTCGCCCCGTTACCGGGTATCGCCGTGTCCCGGTCCGGAAGTGAGTAGAGGGAAATGCGAGAGTGAAAGTGAAGAGAGGGGCTGGGGATCGCGGCACCAGAAGTGGGGACACCGGGAGGTGGGGACATCTGGAGATGGGGACGCTGGGATGGGGACAACGGGTGATGTGTACGCCTGGAGATGGGGATATCTGGAGAGGGGGACGTCTGGAAAGGGGAACAGCAGGAGCTGGAGACACCTGGAGACAGGGACACTGGGAGGTGGGGATGCTAGGAGCTGAAGATGCCTGGAGATGGGGATATCTGGAGACAGGAACATCTGGAGATGGGGAGACTGGGAGATAGGGACACCTTCCTCATCCTGCCTCCACCTTCCTTCCTCCTGCACCCCAATGGCATCAGGGGACACAAAAACATCCACCCCCAATGCAGTGATGCTTCACCCCGAAGTATTCCTGGTGCTTGCCCCACTGTCCCATCCCTCACCATGGACACAGACTCTATGCAAACACCACATCTCTCTGTGGGTTTATTGACCAAAAAGCTCCAGTTCCTCTGCAAAAAAAAAGAAATATGAATGCTGCATCCACCACACTGCTGCCCTCCATCCCTTTGTCCTACATCCCATCCCACAAGCAGCTCCCTGCTCTCGAGGCACTCCAGATCTGCTCCGTGTAGAAATTCAGGGTCACATACTCACACTTTCCTCAGCTCCATCCCACCACGGCACTGCTTTTCCTGCTGCTCGTGATCTGATGATCTCTTGTTGCTTTCTGACGTCTCCGCCAGGAGCGAGGATGCCACGCAGACCTTATTCAGATGAATCACTGCATGCACACCGGGTGATGTCAGGGGCTGCCTCTCCTTTGAGGTATTAATCTGAGAGGAGATCATCTGTTCTTTTTGCTTAAGTACAAAAAGCGTGGAGTCTGAGCTCACTGTCACTGCTCTGTCTGGGGCAACAGGCACTGAAACTGCAACAAGTGATGGGCTGATGGGAAAGATGTTGCAGAGGGAATAAATCAGTGTCAAGGGAAAGGGGTGAGATAGTCCCTGCTGTCAGGAAAGCATCTTGTGCTGCAAAAAAATTGCTTAAAAGCCAGAAAGACAAAGGAATTTTATCACAGTTGAGTGGAGGGGGAGACACTGCTTGGAGTAATCCACAGGAGGTTATATATAACCTAATGCATTAGGACCAGAGGGATCACACAGGCTAATCAGCAGAGGGAAAGCCAAGCACAGAGCTCATTCTGCTTAGCATTAAAGGATGCAGAGGGATGGGTGCATTGCCTGCGCCCAGATGGAGCTGCACACCCACTGGGCTGCCCGGGGTACCGAGTAGGAAAATCATTTACTGACAGTGTTTTAGCCTCAGAAACGCTGTCTGTTTCCAAGGGGAAACTCTGACCCTGCAGTGCCCCGGCCCCTGAAACGGGTCTGGCACTGCCTGTCCTGGCTGTGACGCTGCCCCACGTGCTGCTTTGTTCTCTGGGTTATGAAACACTTTGGCCCCGGTCAGGAATAGTGAGCGTGTCTCCGGGCGCTGGAGGGCTCTCATGGCCACTTCCTCGTGGAAGGAATTTAAGCTTTGATAATAGCATCTCTGGTTCCGGGGCTCTGATCCCACTGCTGGAGCACCACCAGCAGCCACACGCATTCTATCTTTCAGCTACTTTTAGCTTTTTAGGTTTTCTTTGATTTTCCAAAGACTTGCCGTGGGATTTCCTACAAATCCCCTGGTTTCAGCCTTGATAATGCTTTTCTCCCTCTTTCTGCAGCGATGCCATTAACCAGAGATGGTTTGACTGACAGAAGTTCCCAAGTCCGGTTGCAAACAATCCTCTGACGCCGGATCGGAGCCCAAATCGCCCTCCGTGCCCCGCACCGGGCTCGGGCAGGGACAGGCGCTGCCGCCAGAGGTCCCCGCACACCCGCGGAACAGCCGCTCGGGGCGACGCGCTCCGAAAGCGCTCAGCATCCATCCGCACCTTATTTGGAGATACGGCCTTTTTTTCACCCAGATTTAGCGAAGTTTTCCATCAGTTCCTTTGAAAGCCTCGTTCTGCGCCGGGTCAGCTCACACCGCACCGCTCCCAGCAGGGCAGGGACTCCCTAGGGGACTCGGCCATCCCATAACGCTGTGGGGACACAGCTCGTCCCACGGCAGGGACTTCACAGCAGCAGCTCCTGACACCCCAAGTCCCTCTGGCCAAAGCCCTGCTCCCGTTATTGGGAAGCTTTGCTCCCTTCATCTGCTTTTCTCCAGCCGGAGAGGTGTAAAGCCTGTCTGCTTCTCTCGGCTTGCAGATTATAATTAGTTGTCATCTTCTTTCCTCTCCAAAGTGTGTCACTGCTCTGCTGGCTCATAGGAAGTCAAATGATGCAGGAAAGCTCTGCATCCACCACTCATCCCTCCCTTTCTACCTGATGGGGAGTGGTAAAGCCCAGTTATCGCCCTGCCAGACCTGAATGCTCAGGAAGAATACAAGAAACAGCACAGATAATGATTTCTACTCTATGAGCAAATCAATTCCTACTAAATATTTCCTTTTTCATGCTTCTCCCCCTGTAAGCTAAACATGCTTTCCACGCCCGGTTTACAATTTTCAAGCTTAAGCCATACCTGAAGCCATATCTGACAGATATTGATGTGCTTTCTGGTGACATTGTTATGGGGTATTTATGAACCTATGTTTTTGGTGGGTTTCTTTATTTTTTTTTGCAGTTCACACGGGTTCAGAATGAGCCCTGCGAGGTGCAAGCACTCCCTCCTTGCACATCGCACGTTGCAGAGCCCACTCAATCACTCCTGCATTGCAAATAGAACTTCACAGCTCCTGCTGCTGCCGGCTGCACAGCTGGGCACGGGGTATGTTCCCTCCTGAATTCTCTCATTATTAATATCACAAACCAAGCTGCTCCGAGCACAGTGTCCCATTAATCATTTTAGCTCTGCTGCCTCCCCACCTCGCTTGCGCTCCGTTCTTCGGAGGTGTTCAGCCCTGTGTGCTGCAAGGAAGGGCCAATGTGAGCACGATGGGGGTGAGAACACATCTGCACAGCCACAGCTGCATTATGGCATGCTAGAGCGTGCAGCAGGGTCTCAAAGGGAGGACAGGCCTAACAAAGAGCCAAAAGATGCTTACAGAGCACCTTACCAATATGGCATAACATCCTATTCCCTGAGTCCCCCAGGGATGTATTGCATGTTCCTAGGCGTGAGCTGTCAGAGCAGCATCCTACAACAACCCCAAACCTTTATGCTCAGTGCCCTTCCCAACCTTCAGAGCGGGACAAGATCCTTTCACCACCACCTTTGCACCAGTGGAGGTGGGGATTCTGCTTTGCTTTTCGAGTCCTTTGCCAGGCTGTTGGGTTGCATCCAGCAGCCTCTCAGCCCCACTGGGTCAATGCCACCAGGCAGCACTGTGTCCCACCTGGCTCTCACCCCTGTACCTTTGCACACTGCAGCTCCCATCCCCAAGCAAACACTTCCCAGCCGTTTCTGCTGAGTCAGAGAATGCCTCTGTGAGGGCCGCTGCCGCTTCTCCACGTGGGAATGCGCTCCCGGGGAATAATTACAGGGAGTTTAAACAGGGCCGTTTGGCAGCCAAATTGCTTCACGCTCAGGCGCCTGGCCAGCAAGGCAGAGTCCAAAAGCAGCTTTTTGGCACTGCGAGAAAACACTCTGCACCTGCACTCATCGTGGGTGTGCAGCACCCATGGGCTGGGAGCGCTCCTGGCATCGCAGCACCCAGTGTCCTTATTGCTCTGTGGGCCCAACAGAGCAGAGCACTTTGCTGGGTGCAGTTGTACACTTACTGAGCATCCATGTGCACATCCTCTTCTCAGAGTTATGCCCATCTCCAAGAGGATTTTCAGCCCCCTGCGCTGGGTTTGGGAGCACGTTGCATGGCAGGATGCTGCTGCCTGTGATGGGGATGATGACAGAGCCGGGGATTAGTCCCCACTCTGCGTTTCGAGGCATATTTAAAGGTTTTGAAACATCTTGACTGTGAAATAAAGATAAGAACTGGAGGAGACGCAAACTGCGGAGGCGTCACTCCCATTTTTTTCACAGCTCCCACCCGGCTGCAAAAAATAGCGCCATCAGCAGCACCCAACCCCGTGCAACACACACACATGGACACAGCGGTGCTGGGACACCCAGAAACCAGCACACACTCACACAGGAGCAGAGCAAAGTGCAGCAAAACCTGCGGGCACCGAGCGACGGCTCTTCCCACTGAGAAACAAGAGGAGTTTCTCAGCGTTGACTCAGTTTGTTTCCGAAGCGGCACAGCCCTCAGACCACACCTGCCCCATCAGCCCTAAGTGCCCTTAATTCCTCGGCGAGCAGTTTCTAAACCTGAATTAGGAAGGAAAAAAAAAAACAATAAATAAAAAGGAATGAAGTGGTGGAGTGATTGCAGTAATCAGATACGCCGCGTCCCCGCTGCCGCCCATCGGCCGGGGGTGGTGGGCACGGCCACGAGAGCATCGCCCAGCGTGGGATGGGGGAGCTGGCTTTGGGGACAGACACACGGACGGGAAAGAGCTACATGGATGGTGGCAGCTCCCGACGAGGCTGTGAGTATCTGTCAGAGCTTTTCCCTGGGATGAGGGGTGGTGATGGGGGAATTTCCTGAGGTGTTGGGGCTGGTGGTGAAGTTGCTGCTGTCTGCCATCCTCTTGCCCATGGGAACGCCACGAGCAGCCCTTCTATCTCCATTTTTTTCCTTCAAAACAGAGTGGAAAATCTCCAAACACACAGCAAACAGCCAAGGGGCTGTGCAACAGCAAGAACCAAGATTTGTTGCTCCTTCTTCATCCACTTCAGGCAGGGATTGCTGCTTTTCATTACAATTATTATCCTAATTCCTTCTTTACTTACTCCAGTACCACCTTATCACCAGCACAGGAGGGATTTTGGAGGTGCAGACCCCAAGCCTTGTTGACAGCATCATGCCCAGGGTGGCCATAAATAATTTCAAATCATTTTACTGATTTCTGGCACAACTGCTGGAAGCCCTCCTTGCTTACTCACGATACGATCTGAGTTCAATGGTTTGCCATATGCAAACAAGAGCTGGGTGAAATCAGAGAAAGAATGGCTGAATGGATGGGTTGGGAGACCAAAAAATGAAATAAAATAGGGAAAATGTGTACTTTCTGCTGATCATAGCCTTTTTATTTCAGCTGAGCGTGGAACCCTCTGAGCGGCACTGGCTGCACATTTTGGGGTGGGATCTCAGAGGCCGACCCCTCCCTGTGTCCATCAACATGGATTGCAATGACATCGTCACTGCAGAGGTCTGCAAGGAGGACGACATTGGGGATGGAGAGTGAGTAGCCCTCGGAGAGCCCACCACCGTGAGCCATGCAGGCCGCAGGGCCAGCGCTGCCATGGCAACCGCCGCCATGTTGGCTGCCGCCATCTTGTTGGTGGAGGGAGCATCGCCATGGCTGTGAGGGGCTGATCCCCGCTCCCTGCCGTGCCCAGACTCTGTGAAGTGATGGTGGCTGGTTACCCGGTGCTGCTGGTGAGGAACAAGATGGAGTTCAGCGCCCTGGGCAGTAGGTGCCCACACTACGGCGTGCCGCTCAGCAAAGGTAGTGCTTATGGGGGGCAGTGGGGAGAAGCCATATTGGGGGGGAAGCCCCCCCCCACCGGCCGGGGGGGGGGGGGTTCTATTGCAGGGGTCTTGAGAGGGCACAGGCTGCGCTGCCCCTGGCACGGCTCCTGCTTCAACATCCGAACTGGAGATATTGAGGAGTACCCTTCTCTGGACTGCCTGCCTTGCTTTAAGGTGATATCTGGTCTCTTCCCCCCTGCTTGGTCCATGTCCCCTCTGCTACCCACTGCCTACAAGCATGGCGATTGAAAAGGCCATGCCCTGGCCACAGTGCTGGTCTCACAGAGCTACACATGGAATGACTTCAGGCATCCTATAGAACCTTTCAATCAACGCATCCCAATATCCCTCACAGCCAGGAAAGCTCGTGAGCTCCCCAGCACCAACAGACACTCACTTGACATTTAAGAACCCTATGTGCCGCTCTTGATGCATCAGAGTTTGCTGTCCTCCAACAGCTCAACAAATCAGGACCATGAGTTCCTATTGATGCTGATCCTCTCTCCTTAGAGCTGGGCTCCATTATCTTTTTGCAGTTTTCCACCCTTGCATTCTACATCCTTTTCCAAACAGACCCCAAATTTCCAGACAGCTCGCTGTCACCAGGACCCCCAGACTTGTTCTGCACAAGCTCTTAACACACCATCTGAACAGACTCTCCCACGAGAGCTCTTATCACCACCCCATAAGCACAGCGCATAAATGTATTCTTCTTCCCCCCCTCCAGGTAACAGTGGAAGATGGAAAGGTGTTTGTAACAGCTAAAAAGAAGGTACTGACCATACCTGCTGCCAGTAAGCACCATCAGCACCATGGGCTGGGTACAATTTAATTATCTCTCACTTTATTCTAGGATCTTGAAAGCAGCCTGAGGGTGAAGGACATGAGCAAACGATGCCTTCTCAATCAGAACACCATGCTTCTCCTGGGAGGAGGTCAGTGAAGTGGTCTGTACCACATCCTCACTACAGACACTGTGAGCTGCCACTCTCATCCCCAAGGAGGCCTCATCTTCTGCCTCCCACTCTGCGGTGATGCATAACAGGGCTGAGATGAGCATCTCTCATAGGTGTGGCTGCCCTGACCTGTGCAGAGACACTTCGCCAAGAGGGCTTTACTGGCAGGATCATCATGGCCACCAAAGAGAAACATGCTCCATATGACAAGTCCAAACTGAGCAAGGTTTGTCGGTGAGGAAGGACTGTGCCTGGGTACTGTGTGTGAATTAGGGGCACAGCCCATGCTCAGAACCAGGTTGAGTGATCAGGTGGTCCATTCTGGCAAGGCAGCTATCAGGCAAGAGAAATGGGTGTCATTTCCAGCTAGTGTCTCACTTCCTCTTGATCAGAGTACACCATTAGCAAATGGTTTTATCCTCTGGCTGAGTTCTTCCCACTTTGAGGAGGAGCATGGAAGTGATGGGGATGGGACAATGTGAGCAGCCGTGACATGCTAGTGCAGGATTTGCTTCTAATGCAAACCTACTTCCCAGTAAACTGCAAGAGCACTGCTGACTGTAAGAACTGCTTTATTTCATACTTCTGCTTTGCTTCCAGGAAATGAATTTAAAAGCTGAGGACATCTACCTGAGGAAACCTGAATTCCTGTGCGCTCATGGCATAGAGCTCTGGACAGAGAAAGAGGTGCAAAAGCAGCTGAGATCAGTCCTCAGTGGATGGTTCTCTTCCTGCCACAAGGAGGAGAATTGATGTGACAGGACAGAAGTGGACCAGGAAAATGCCTCCTTGATCTTCACCTCCTCTCTCCTGCAGGCAGCGTCAGTGGATTTCCAGAAGCAGAAGGTTCGCTTCATGGACGGATCCTCTCAGAAGTACAACCAGCTGCTCATTGCAACAGGTGGACAGTGAGTGCACAAAGCATTTGTCACATGCACCTTTTCTGATGGGACAAAATGGTTCATTTGTGGGGATTGGAGCTCTTCTAGAAACACACAAAAGGGAGGCAGTAGAAAATGATAGAAAATGATGGGATCAAAAGGCCAAGAGGCTGCATGGGGTTGTGTGCTCCCTTCTTATCATCCCTGTTTATTTACAATCATAAGCCATACCTTGGTTCTCTCTCTCTCTCAGCTCCAGCTTCCTCAAAGTCCCAGGTGCAGACCTGCAGAACGTGTGTCATCTTCAAACCCCAGAGGATTCTAGCAAGGTCTTAGAGCTGGCAGCTGGGAAGAATCTTGTGATTGTAGGAGCTTCATTCGTAGGTACCATGCTGGAGGGGCTATTAGGTCTTGAAAATTGGGCCTTGAAATGCACTTCTGCTGTGTGAGCTTTTAAATTAAAGGTCCTCAGGGAAGGAAGTCATCCACTGCCTGTCTTGGTCCCACACCGGAGTTCTGTACCTGGAGCTTTATGAGTTAAACAGCAGAACCTTTCTCTTGATGGCCAGAAACTTTGAGCCATATACAGTTCCTGGACCAGGGCAGAGGGAAATGTGCCTTGTGAAAAGGTCTGTCAGAGGAGCTGGACTGTCCAGAAGCAAGGGGGTAAGGTACAGAAGGGAGCTATGCAGCTAGGAGCTGCTCTTTGTATTTCCTAATAACTGGGTCCATAGTGCACAAGAACAAAGTGAAATATAACAGCCCATAAATGCAGAGAAAAGCAGTTAAGCATTGGCAATCCATCAGATCTGTTCTTGTCTGGAAGGGGTAAAGATTCCCCAGGAGGAGGGTGCAGGTTCCTACTTGCAGCAGACTTACCTGGAACATGCCATTCACTTGCAGGAATGGAGGCAGCTGCCTTCCTCTCAGACAAGGCTGCTGTCATCTCGGTGGTGGAAAAACATGAGTTCCCTTTCCAGAAGACGCTGGGTCCTCAGGTTGGAGGCGTTGTCTTGAAGGTTAGGAAAACCCAGTGCTATCCAAACAGCCCTGCTATCCACCACCACCCAGGAACTGCAGCCTGGTAATGCCTGGCCACCTTGCTCAGAGCTCACATGTTGTAAACCCCCAGCTTCCTTCATGCACACATTACACTTCCTAGCTCAATCCCTCCCTAAGCCCCATCTCATGCTGGTGCTAACTGGGATGGCAGAGCAGAGGCAGACTCCCAGCGCACCCTGCAAATAAAACCCTCCTGCAGCACGGAGCAGCAGCTGAGCTGTCTGCCTGCGTTCTGGCTGGATGCTGCTGCTGTTTTTACGAGCTTGGAATTTCCTAGTGAACACTCAAAGCAGCTTCCTCTTCCTTTTTCAGATGCTGCAAAGTAAGGGAGTCAAGTTTTACATGAAAAAAGAACTCCATGAGCTGAAAGGGAAGGATGGAAAGGTCAGTCATGCCACTGAGGTTTCTGAACTTCTATTTTTAGGGGACACCCCCCTCAAATTGAGGTGTATCCCAGTGCCTACGCCTAGTCTAGCTCCTCCCATGTCTAGACCCTCATGTTTCCTTGCACAGAGCACAGCTCTCAGCTCAGAGGGCAACAGCATGCTGCTTTCCTTGATTTTCTCTTACGTTCCCAGCAACACACATTAGCTGGACAAGGTCATCTCAGCCTGAGAAAGACAATAGAGAGCAAAGAATAAGGCAGCGGAGAGGCTACAGGGATGAGAACAGAGTTTTTAGCCCTTTGTTAATGATCCTTGCTTCTTCCCCAGGTCACAGAAGCCATTCTTGCCAGTGGAGAAAAACTACCTGCGGATGTGGTGGTGGTGGGAATAGGTAAAGAGAGCCCAGCTGGAGAGGGAGGCAGCTCTGGAAATGGGGAGAGCATCTCAGTCCGTTCTCATTACCCAGTCCTTCCTTTTGGTCCCACCCACTTGAGGGGCTTATGAGCAATAGGCATGAGGAAAGGAATGACTTACAGCCTTGATACGACTTTGGCACGCTTGCTGAGCTCTGTAGGTCACTGCTGTGTTATCAGAGCACGCCTTGTTCTGGGTCCTGGTTTTATTGTCGCTGGGTTAGCTCAGCACCAGCCCTGGTCACTGCTGTAGGCTGCCCCGGTCCAGGCAGGCTGAGAAGTACCAAGGCCACACGTTCACTTCAGGGCCAAAATTACTCCCTGCCTTCACAGAGCCTTGCTGCATTTGTCCTTACTCCTTTCCTTGCAGGGGTGACCCCCAACTCTTCATTTCTGAAGGGCACCTCCATCGCCAAAGACAAAAGCGGTGCCATCCTGGTGGACCTGGTGCGTGCCAGCTGAGTACCCACAGCTAATTCTGAGTCCTTTCCTTTTCATTGTTGCATTAATGGCTTTTTGTCCCATTAGCACATGCAAACCAACATCCCAAACGTCTTTGCTGGGGGGGATGTTGTCTCCTTTCCCGTAGCGCTGCTCAATGGGAACCACTCCAGCATCCATCACCAACAGGTGGCCGAGGCCCACGGTGAGGCAGTGCTTCCCAGCTCCCCTCAGACAGTCAGCAGCCATTTCAGGACCTCCAGGAAACAAAAACGTTCCCACTGATGGTCCATTGCCACAGGTTCCATCGCTGCCTTTAACATGTTGAAGAAACAGAAGGAGTTGCACACCGTCCCCTTCTTCTGGACCACGATGCTTGGGAGAAGTATCCACTATGCAGGTAGGATGGGGCAGAGAGGAATGAAAGGGCACAATTGTCCCTCTCCAAGCCAAGGAGGAACGCGGGACCACATGCAGCCCTGCTCCTCTGGGTCAGCTCTGCTCTGCCAGAGTCTCTCTGCCTGCTCCCAGCCCCATGCAGAGTCACATCCCCTCTCCTTCTTCCTGCACTCCAGGTGCCATTGAGGTGGGGTGGGTGGCACTGCTGTACCAGAGCTTCCTGACCCCATGACCATCTTCTGCAGGCTGCGGTAAGGGCTACACAGACACCGTTCTGAAGGGCAGCTTGGAGCAACAGAAGTTCCTCATCTTCTACCTTAAGTGAGTGGAGCTGCACAACGGTGTAACAATGCAGGGACCCCAGCACCCATCCCCATTCCCTCTGCCCCACTGCTCCCATACCTGGTGCCCCATGTCCCCCTGCCCTAAGCTCTCCTCAGCCCACTGTCTGCAGGAGGATGCTGCTATGCTATGTCACGTGCACCAAGGAGCTCTGCATCCTTCTTTCTCTTCCAGGGATGGCTTTGTAACAGCAGCTGCCAGCCTAAACTGTGACCCCATAGTGTCTCTGATTGCTGAAGTTTTATACTTGGGGAAAAAAATATCTAAAGAAGAAGCAGAGTAAGTGATGCCCTGAGCAGCAGGGTGTTGCCTTCCCCTGCAAACACAGAGCCCATAAGCACAGTGCTGAGCTCCTGCAGTTCCCCAGTGCCCCTCTTGTTGCAGGGCCTACGATATCAACAACATACCCTTGTGACAGCAAGCTAAGCTTCATCCGTACACTGCCACGGGGAGCACAGCATCAACCAGGAATTAAAGCTCAACTTGTTGCGAGAGAAATAAAGTGGAAGCAAAGCTGGATTGAGCGCATGCATTTTGTGTTTGCACAGCCCTTGGCTGCTCTTTGCACTCCGGGGCAAAACAGGTGTGCTTTTTCCTAACCAGGGACCTGCTGGGCTGGGCAAGAGGAGATCACACAAGGCCCCCAGTCCACCGCCTCCATCCACCACCTCCAGCTCACTGCTGGCAGGGAGCATTCATTCAGCACACCCCCGGTCATGCTGACCTTCTGCTTTGCAGAAGTACATTTTCCCAGCGAGGGGAACTCTGAGTGAGGCAAGCTGCTCTCACAGCTGGGAACAAGACAGTCTGTGTGCAAGAGCTGATGCCAAATAACTCACCCCTAAGGACAGAAGGCTGCGAGCCGACCTTTGAGCGAGCAGCACCTGCTGGCATTGCTACAGCTGTCGTGAATATTGCATTAGCTGCTGCAGCAACCCCATCCAGCAACCCCAGCCCAGCTGCATGCAGCATGGCATCCCCAGTGCTGGCTGCTTCAAGGAGGAGGGCGGATGCTGCAGGAAACGCAGCCTCAGTGCTGGAGGAAAGAGTTGCATGGTTTTGCAAGGCAGCAGCAAGTGAGGCTGTGCACTCTACAGGAAGCACTGCACTTACTCACCGGTCACATGGCACTTCACAGGAGGAAGGGTAAGCTCTGAGTGTCAGGCAAGTTCCCACAGGGACACTGTGTCAGCCTCAATCCCTCTGCTTTTATGCTCAGTGCAGAGCTGAGCCCATTTGCTCAGCAGGTGAGATAACATTGCACCGTTTTTGTGTGAAACACTCGAAGTTGCACCCCAGCACCTTCTCACATATGAAGCTAGAAGGGAATCCCCAAATTCTGTGGGCTCAGTGCTGCCGTGCAGTGCAATTCTCAACCCTGAAACTGCCCCAACTTACCCAAGGGGAGCACATCACAGCAACAGGAGGAACAGTGACCCTAAGCACTCCCCATGTGCTGACACACAGAAGGGCAGAGACGCAGTGGCAGGAGCACACAGCTCCTCCATACCACACACCAACAGCTCTGGCACAGCCATGCCTGGGAGCTGCTCATCCTCCCACCCCATGCGCTCACTGCAACTGCTTTGTGCCCCTCATTTTCCTCTGATTCTGTAGGAACTCGCGGTTCTGCATCTGGGCTGGGAGAGCACAGTGCTGCCTGCAGCCAGGGGTGTTCCTCCATCATCCAACACTGAGAAGGAGTTGGTCCAGGGGGGCTCAGTAGCCCTGTTCCTTGCAGTAGGCAGCAGTAAAACCCCCCCCCCCCCCCCCCCAAAGAACTCCACTTCCTGCGGCCATCAGCAGATGCACGCCAATTTCTTATCAGAATGAAGGACGTTGTGCAACAGATTCACCCCACTTCTGCCAGTTAAGGGACACCAAACTGCTTTCTGCACATCATCAGGTGCAGAAATCCAGCAGCAGCCTTACACCCAAACAGGGAAATTGAACCTGAACTGTGCAGCCTCCAGCACGAGGCTCCTGCTCTCCTTGCTGGGTTCACACACAGATGTTTTACCCCATTATCTTGGATTCCTGAAGGCTTTACCCAAACCCCTCCTGGTGTCACCATCAGCTGCTCAAGCAGGGAAGGCACAGCACACCCAGCATACCTGAAGCCCTGGCACTGCCCCAGCACAGGCCATAGAACAGGGCAGCCATTCCCTGGGCTGTGCATGACTCGGCCCTGAGTCAGCAGCTCCGCAGCCCATCCCACCCAGGCAGCCCCATCCCACCACCCAGCTCTTTGCACTCCCAATCCCTGTAACAGCACAGATCAGCCCTGCTGTAACTGAGACGGACCCAAAAAACAACCCTCTGCCCACTGACCCCTGTGGGACAGAGCTGCCACCCCTCCCTGCCACCCCACAGTCCAAAGTCACCACCATCCTCCCACCCCACAGGCAACGAATGAGTGGTTCAGGAAAACACAAAGTTTAATGTCTCTGGCCGTCTCAATTCAATGCCATCCCACCATGGAGTGGGACCCCATTCCCTGTTTTATAGCCCTGGCTTTGCCCGGAGGCTCCTCATCCCCACCGGGCTCATCCTCAGCTCCCTCGGGGTGCCTCCATGGGATGCTGTTGGCTCACTCATCCCGGTGGCTCAGCACACAGCTGCAGCTGACATCCGACGTCGCAGCGATGAGCGTGGCTACATTCAACAGTTCTTCAACTGGCAGCTTTAGCTACTAGAGAAGGACATAAAGCTTGCCACTGAAGAACTGCTGCCGGGCAGCCAGGAGCGGGCAGAGGAGCAGCAGCTGTGGAGGAAACAACATATCAGAGCCAGCACACAGCACTGCTTGCACCAAATGTACCCTCCCAGTGCCCTCCAAAGCCAGGGCTGACATCCCATGGGGGTACAACAGCCCAGGGAACGCGGGGGCAGCTCCATCCCTCCCTTCCCCACAGCCAGGTGCCACAGAGCAATCCCCTTTACCACACAGGGAACCAAGGCCGTTCCAGCTGGAAAACACCAGATAAGAAGCCCAGATCATAGAGGCTGCCACAGAGATGGGGCTGTGAGGTTCTGCGGGGAGGATGGGGTGGGTATGGTGTTTCCCAGGCTCTCACCTCCAGCACCGTGCTGGCAGGGTCCCACCAGGCCAGGGGCCAGCAGCATTTAGCCAAGGGAGAGATTTGGTGCCAAAGGAGCACCGGGGGAACGTGGGGAATTTCGGAGTCACCCAGGGGGTGCGTTGGGCCCCAATTCTTCTCTCTTCCAAACAGGAAAATCCCTTTTTTCCCCTCACTTTGTCTGAACTATAGGGCGAGCTCTGGGAATCCCCTAAGCAATAGGAGGGCAGTCAGCCCCACTTTGAGGATAACCGGGCTTAAATGGGGGGCAGCACATGGGGAACACCCCCCAGCATCCTCCCACCAATGTATCCCCCCCAAAAACATCCCGGGGTTCCACACGGGGTCGGGGTGTCCCGGGTGGGGGCGGCGGGGCCGCGGGGATGCCGCGCATTCCTGGCGTGCCGGGTACATCTGGTCCGGATTCCAGCGCCGGTCCCGGCCCTGCTCCACCCCCGCTGGGCCGTGAATCAGCACCCGGGAGGGGCCCCGCCGGCACCGGAGGGGGAGGCTCTGCCGGTAACGGGAGGAAACTCCCAGCCCAGGAGGGGGCTCAGCAGGGTTCGCCCCATCTGTAATCCCCACCGTACCCCCAGCGGGTGCCCAGCTCCGATTTCACCGGGCCACCCAAGCCCGGTAAAGACAATCCCCGCAGCCAGGACAGCTTCGCCACCCGCCCTACGGGGAACCCGGTTCCCTCCTCACCTCCCCTCCCCTGGGAACCCCACGGTCCCCTCTGCCCCCCGGGATGCTCCGCTCGGTGTCCGCCCGAGGAGCGGCCCCGGGTCAAAGTCTGCCCCGCCCGAACCCGGACTGAAGGTCACCCCCGGGGGCGGCCACCGCCCGGCGCGGGGCGGCCCCGACCACAGCCCCGCCCGCCCTACCGGGACCCCCGCAGAGATAACCGCGCCCCCCCGCACCGACGTGGGGACGGCGCCCGCACAGCCCTACATAGAACCGAACCCCATCGAACCCCCACGCTGCACCCCGGGCAAAGGTGACCTTTCCTAGGAAACAGAACGGGGCACAGAAAGCCTATCATGCCCCGGCTCCGTACAGCGCTCCCCGCGGTGCCGCCGGACCCACCTGCGCGGAGCGGTCCAGCCCGGTACCGGCACACCGCGGCCCAGCCCGGCCGCGCCGCTCCCCCCACCGCACCGCACCGCCACCGCCGGCTCCCGTCTCGGATCAGCTGGCGGAGTCATGACGCAGCCACCCACCGGCCCCGCCCTTAACCAATCACCACCCGGCACACCGCTCCCGCCCCCTCCACTATCCCTGCCAATAGGCAAGGCGTTTAATCCGACACTCAGCCAATAAGGAGAGAGAATGGGCAGTCCCCCCCGCCCACCCCACTGGGCGCTGGCCGGCGGTTGCCTAGGGAACCGACAGCCCCGCCCCGCCGCGCGGCATGCCGGGATGTGTAGTGCGGCGCGGCGCTCCCGGCATGCCCCGCGTGCTGTGAGTTGGCATTTTCCAGGGGGTGAGGAGGTGGCTGGGAGGGGGGGGGTCTTAAAGGGCCCGGCCCCGGCGGGGTGCGGAGCTGGTATTGGGCCGCCCCCTCCCTCCCGGGGCGGCACCGCCTGCGCCTTTTAGCGCTCGCGCTGGTGACACAGCCACGATTCCGAGAAGTTGCTCCAAGTCGACGGCCAATCAGAAGTGAGCGCACGGCCCGCACACCAATGGGAGCGCGTGGGGGGCGGGGCTTCGGGAACCCGCCTGACCTCGGAGGCTGGCAGCGCCGCGCGATGACTGGGCAACTTCCTTAAAGGGGCCGCGCCCCGAAGCTGGGGGTGCTGTGCGGGCGGCGCCGCGGTGCCCCTTTAAGGCAGTTTCCTGCCCTTCGCCCCAGTAACAGCTGATTGCAATGGAAGGGGGGTGGGGAGCCAATACGCTCCTTCCACGTCCCGCCCACGTGACTCCCACGCGCGACATGCGGCGGGAACCTCTCGCGGCCTTAAAGGGGCCGCGAGGGGAAAAGCTAGGGCTGATGCCGGCTGTCGGATGCCTTTAGCAGCCTCGAACACCCGGAGGGAGCGGGCTGCTGGAACGTGTCCAACCCGGGAGCACCCCGGAGATAAGGGTGAGGACTAGAGTCGGGGCCACGCAGCACCCGGTCAGAACCAGCTCCGCAGCGTTCCCCCCGGCGGTGTTCGGGGCACGGACCTCAGGGCAGGGGGCTCGGGGCCGCCCCGCACTCACCTGCCGCCGGTGGGGTCCACCCGCCGCCTCCCCCCTGCGCGCCCCCTTTAAGGCCGCTGCCCGCCGGCGCGCCTCTCCCCGCTCCAGCTGACGGCTCGCGGCGCTCTGACGTCACCGTGACCTCAGCCGCCGCGCGGGGCCCCGCCGCTCTGCCCATGTACGGGCACCGCGCCCCGGCCCCGCTCCCCCCCCCACCGACGGCGGCGGCTCCGCAGGCGGTGACCGCTGGAGGGAGCCCGGCCCCGCGCCCGGCCCCGAGCGGGGCTGCCCCCGGGGCTCTTTCCCTGCTCCTGAGCCGAGCCCGGTACGGGGCGTGCGGGGGGTACGGGCGGGCACATGGTGCGGTGGCGGCCGCATGTGACCGCCGTCACCTGACCAACATGGCCGCGGGGCCGCTGCCAGGTAACGGTGCGGGACTCCCCGGCGGCGGCGGAGCCCGGAGATGCGGAGGAGCTCCGGGAGTGGCTTTGTGCCCGGCTCCGGCATGCGGCTGCCTCTGCCCGTGGGCCCTTTCCCCAGGGGGCTCCTTCGGTGTCTGCTGTGTCTCCTCTGCGTCCCTTCCCAAATCCCCCAGATACGGTGCTTTGGGCCACTTGTAGGGGGCAGGAGGGCAGCGAGAGCCTCCCCGGCATCCTGTCCACCACCCTAATGCTGCCAAGGTCCTGTGGTTTGCTCATCCTCTCCTGATCTCCATCTGAGCCTCCCCTGCCAGCCCCATCCGCCACTGTTAATGCTGCCAAAGCCCTGTAGCGTCCCCATCCCCTCCTGACCCCCTTCTAACAACACAGTGTTTGGGTGGGATGGGAATTTCCCCTTTCCAGAGTGAAATTTGGGGTTTTATGGGGTCGGTGCTGCAATTCTCCGCTTACCCCCCCCGTGGTTTTTTTGGGCTTCCTCTCTTCAGGAGCCACCATGGATGCCCTCCTGCGCAGCGTGGAGAAGGACCTGAGCATCGACCGCTGGCAGCTGGCAGCCGCCTCCGAAGGCACCCACATCACCGCTCTGGTCCCACACAAATGGTTGGCCAACCTGCGGGAACGCCGGGCGCTGCCTGCCCTCTGCCCACGTCCGGAGGGGCTGAGCGAGGTGGAAGTGAGGACGTTCCTGCAGCGCTCCGTGCAGAAGCTGCCGGCAGGATGGACCCGGGTGGAGATCCACGGGTTGCGCAAGGAACGACTGATGCGGCCCCTCCGTGTGCCGCCTGCTGCGGACCCGCGGGGCGGCAGTGCCGAGACCCTGCACGGCTTCATGCAGCGCGTGGCATCGCAGAATTATCGCAACCTGTGGGGCCGGGCTCACTGCCTCTACGTGCGGCCCTACCGGCATGCTCACACACCGCCCGCTGTGCCGGTGTTGGATGCGCTCCGAGCGGCCCTGCAGAAAGCGTACGGCTGTCCCATCCTCCAGGTGGGCAGAAGCGTGCCTTGTGCTTCCCCAGCCAAGGCGGTATCCTCCGTGCCCTCCTCCTGCCCCAATGTGCTGCAAGCAGAAGCTCTGCTGGAGTCGGCTGAGATGCTCTATGTTATCTATCCCTACGTCCAGTACTGCTTGCATGACATTGTGACTTTCAGCCCAGCGAAGCTCACCAACAGCCATGCCAAAATCCTCTTCCTGCTCTTTCACGTGCTGCAGGCCATGAGGGCATGTCACCAGGCAGGGCTGGCTTGCGGGGCATTCTCCCTTCGCGACGTGGCTGTGGATGAGAAACTCTGCAGCCGGCTCCGGGTCAACTTCAGGGAGTATGAAGGTCCCAGGAAGGAGGAAACAAATGCAGAAGCCGATCTAGAACGAGTGAATGAGCAAAGCGGTGCTGGGATGCGAGGGGACACGGCGAGGTGCTCCACCTGCCAGCAGGAGCTGCGGGACCTGGTGCTGCAGTGGGTGCATGGCCGGGTCAGCAACTTCGACTACCTTATGCGTTTGAACAGTTTGGCTGGGAGGAGAATGGGAGACCCCAATTATCACCCGGTTCTTCCATGGGTGGTGGACTTCACAACCAAAAATGGCAAATTCAGGGACCTCAGGAAATCCAAATTTCGTCTCAATAAGGGAGACAAGCAACTGGATTTCACCTATGAGATGACCAAGCAAGCGTTTGTTGCTGGCGGGTCAAGTGGGGAGCAGCTCCATGTCCCCCACCACATCTCTGATGTCCTTTCGGATATCACCTACTACGTGTACACAGCTCGCAGGACACCCAAGTCAGTGCTGTGCTGTCATGTGAGATCCCAGTGGGAGCCCAATGAGTATCCAGCTAGCATGGAACGCATGCAGAGCTGGACCCCGGATGAGTGTATCCCAGAGTTCTATACAGACCCATCCATCTTCAGATCCATCCATCCTGACATGCCTGACCTGGACGTGCCGTCGTGGTGCAGCTCCTACGAGGAGTTCATCGAAGTCCACCGCATGCTGCTCGAGAGTCGGGAAGTGTCTCAGGACCTCCATCACTGGATCGATCTCACTTTCGGGTACAAGCTGCAAGGGAAGGATGCTGTCAAGGAGAAGAATGTCTGCCTCCATCTGGTAGACAACCACACGCATCTGACGACTTATGGGGTCGTACAGCTCTTTGACCAGCCGCATCCCAGGCGCATGGTGGGACCTGCCTACACTCCTGCTGAAGCTCCGGCCATTGCTCGGCCTCTCCTCCAGAATATCAAAGAGACTGTGATTTTGGAGGACATCCAGTGCCCCGTGACTGATGCAGTTAATGGGCTGGTCCTGGAGGCTACTCCTACTGAAACCACTTGGTCTGGGGAGAAACCCATTGCTGGTGAAGATGATTTAGAGCAAGGCACGGAAGCACTGGATTCCATTTCTGTGAGTAGCAGAGCTCCTGATCAGCCCAGCAGCTCTTCAGCACAGCCCTCCGTCATCCCTGCTTATCCCACTGAAGGTAAAGCCTCGGGTGCCCGACCCCTCCGTCGGAGCAAGGCGGGTGCTGCAGATCAGGCAGACAGGGATGACATGAAAATTGCACTCCCTGAAGGCTTCAATCCGCTCCAGGCCTTGGAAGAACTGGAGAAACTGGACAATTTCCTGGTTAAAGGCTTGAGCAGCGATATGCAGCTGATGGAGCAGCCTGGGGAAGAGCCCCTGCTGGGTCTCTCTGACCTCTTCCAGAGGGATATGCAAGCACTGGGTATTCTGATTGCTGAAATAATCTTTGCACCGAGGATCCGTCCTTCAAAGCCTGACGCGTCCCTGCTGGAGCGGTTCCTGATGGTGCGTAACCTGTGCCGCTACCACCCCAAGGAGATCCCGGCCCCGCTGCAGCACGTGCTGCACATCCTGCTGCAGCTCAGCGTGCCGGTGGAGAAGCTTCTAAAGACCAGGTTGGGCAAGGACACTGTACAGCTGTTTGAATACAAACCCATTTCCCAGGGCCTCCCCCCACCTTGTCCCACGCAGCTCCTCAGTCCCTTCAGTTCTATCGTTCCCTTCCCCACATACTTCCCAGCTCTGCACAAATTCATTTTCACCTATCAGGCGAAGAAGATAGAAGATGAAGGTCAGGGCCGGGAGCTTGTTTTCCAGCTGTGGCAGCAGCTGGAAGGGATTCTTTCTGAAATCACTCCTGAAGGCTTGGAGATTCTTCTGCCCTTCATATTATCTCTGATGTCTGAGGAGAATACTGCTGTCTACGCGGCGTGGTATCTCTTTGAACCTATAGCTAAATCCCTAGGTCCAAAGAATGCCAACAAATACCTCCTGAAGCCATTGATCGGAGCCTATGAGACCCCCTGCTCCCGACACGGCCGGTTCTACCTGTACACGGACTGCTTTGTGGCCCAGCTCATCGTGCGCCTGGGGCTGCAGTCCTTCATCCTGAACCTGCTGCCCCACATCCTGCAGATTCTTGTTGGCATCGAGAGCTCACGGGAGGAGAGCAAATCCCTCCTCGGTGCGGCTGAAGATGATGAAA